CCCCCCCCCCGTTAACGTCCATTTCTCTAGCTTCGTCAAATTCGCAAACGATGAGAAACCATTATCTTGCCCCCTAATAATTTATAAAAATAGTTGAATGGAAATTCGAGTTCGACTCACAATCAATCGTAAGAAGAACAAACGATCGGCGCAGCGCTTCGATCGATATCCAGACGAAAGAAAGAAAACAGAAACTGAATAAAATCGAAACGCTCGAGTTTCGAGGATCCTTATGTATTGACAGTGGCACTGAGACCGGAAGAGGAAGTTACACCTGCGATCGAATACGTATCGTTTTTGAACCAGCTCCAAGACTTACAGACACGCAGCCAGCAGTGCCAACTGCAATGCTCTCTCGGGTACAGTTTACAATACTACTCGGGTACTGCGCGCTCATTCGTTGCCAAAGAAAGCTCTTCTCTCGCGCGCCTATATGTCTATATCTTCTTTCCTTCCTTCGCTCGTGGACCTTCTGGCCCCTCCGTTCCTGCGGATGCTCCAGAGCACGCGACGACAGACATTCCACTGCGCTATTTTTGCTTGAGTTTGGCATTAGTGGAATCCAAGAGAGCAGGAGTGAAAGAGAAAGAGGGGAAGGGGAGAGAGGGAGAGAGAGAGAGAGAGAGAGAGAGAGAGAGAGAGAGAGAAAGGAATCATATAGCTTAAAAAGCACACGTTGCTTTTACTCAAGAACGATTGGCCGTCCTATTTTTACGCCTGTTCGTCATTGCAGCGCGTGACCACACAGTGTCGACTTACCGGTTCACCATTACGCACACCTTATGCTCTATATTCCAGTAATCAAATGCGCAGCCAGAAAGACACTTGGTAAGCGAGATAAGAATTGGTGAAAGTGCAGCAGGTGATGAAACAAAGCACGGAAACAAAGGACAGAAAGAAGCAAGGCGCTGGTCTACGTGACGCTTCCAAGCAAATCGAACATATGGCAGCTTTGGAAATCCATATACAGCGTGGTTAGGACAAATCTCAATCGGACTGTTAATCTACAGAAAAGGTTGTTAAGCACGCGCCGATCTATCCGGAAGTCATCCGGCCGGAAATGAGCAAAAGAAATGTTTGCGACTGCAGGACGATCAGCAGTTTCGTCAATCCATGCCAGTCGATCAGCTGCAAAGCAGCCGGTGATTTGCTCCTTTCCGGCAATTCGCAATTCGCGATTCGACAATGATTCGAGAATGAAGGCAGAAGGCACCTGTGCGTGAGTCAATGAGTCGGAATCGCGCAGTGTAACAGGCACGAGCAAAACCCGAAGATCGCGCACAGGTAGCGTCGGTAGGGTCGACGACGCCACTGACATCATGGGCAAGTCCACTGAGCATGACTCCAGTGGCCCATGTGTATATCTCCTTGAGGACTTCCGGAGGACCCGGGCGAGACGGACAGAAAGGTTGCCGTACCGTGGTGGTTGCAATCGAAGGTGTATCACGTGGGTTTAGGGGTACCCCAGCTATGCCTATCAGCGGGATCGAGGCCAAAATGCGACGAGCCCCTCGCGCCAAGGCCCCGGCAGCCCTGCACACGCCACTGCTCACCGTCCGGCCTACCTTCAGCACGGACTCCATTTTCTTTCCCTTTCAACGGCTCGATTAGCTTCTCTCCCTCCCTCCTTGCCTTTTCACCCCTTATCACTCGACTCTTTACTTTTTTTTTTTCCAACTTTCCCGCGATTATCTTCCTGCGTCACGTTTCCTTCGCTTCCTTCTTCTCGATAACTCCTGGTCCAGCCCCGCACTGACGCGATCACGATGACCCTTTGACCAATTTGGGACTTTCGATTGGTCCTTTGCGCGAAACGGAGGCGAGACAACACTCTTCTCTAAGGTTCGAGGTTGGCTCTTCCCTAGGACGTGCACGAGCGCCGACGACTATCACTGCTCAGGGCGAAGAACGTGGACGGACTCAGGTCGGCTCGCGAGGACAGTCCGCTTTATATAGACACCTCGAGGGATCGTCCCACGACGGAGAGCGTCGCTGAATTGGGAGAATCACGAGAACGACCAGAACCAGAGGAACCGGAGGAACCAAGAGGTCCAAGAGGAGCGAGAAAACGAGAACCCTCGACTCTGTTCCTCGATTGGTTCCAGGAGAGAAACGGGGAGACTCGCTAGGGGACATCCTGCACGCAGCTCTCTCTCTCTCTCTCTCTCACACACACACACACACACACGCCCTCGTACATTCGTGCACTGACGTGCCCACATACTCGCAGCGACCTCAGGCAGCAGCATCCCCGAAGAAAAATTCACGCCGCAAACCACGCGCTATTCTTGGACCCGGACAACGAGGATACGACACTAACTAACACGCGCCTTCCGAATGTCCATGAACGCGCCGCGACGCCATCTCTTAGCTCCACGTCATCCCCGCCGTCTACGCTAGCACATACATAGATACTTCGAAGATGCACACTGGCACAGGGACTCAGCTTCTCATCTCATAAGAGCGCGCTGGGAGACCCACCCTACACCTCCTACGCGTCGCAGAGCTTGAAAGAGCTATGACCCTACGCAACTTTCCTTCTTCCTTCCGCATTCTTCTCCTTGACATTTTTGAGCCCGCATCTGCGAGCAACTGGTCCAACCCGCAGCTTCCTAGGACGAGGGCAAGTGTAGTCAATGGAAATACCCAAACTAAACTGTCTCGCGACAAGACAAGAAAGTTAGGAATTTGATTATTTGCTCGGCGATATGCGTCGTCGTCGCGACATCGAGCGCCTCCGACGTCCCCGTATCGCGCAGCATCTTCAAGGTGACACTCGACTCCAGTGAATCTTCGATGTCGGTCGATTTAACTCGGCGAACGGGAGACTCGATCCTCGGCTTTCGTAATCCAGTTTAAAGTTGATGCCATCCTTGCGGCGGCGGCGCGACGTGCCTGCTGCCACCGCAAGGCTGAGTTTGATCTCCGGTGTTTTCTTGGCAAACACTCAAAGTAGACACAAACTGGGAACGGAGATCGGCTTTCCAGTGTTTCGCATCTTCCTCCTACAACTCACGATATAGTGGTACCCGCGCAATGAAATCGCGTGCCGCAGAAAGCAATGCTTCAAGCGACACTGAACTCGCCTTAGTACGTGTATAAAGAGTCCAAGGACAAAATGAGTCCCTGCGATATTGCGCAATTAATTACAAGGGCGACGGGTGGAATCTCACCGAGCTTAATATACTCGACGTTAAGCGTCAAGCCACGGTGGATCAAGGTGGCAGCCAGGCGCCGCCATAAGGCAGATCCGACGCGCGTCTCATGCTGCCGACTCTCCTTCCTCCCCCTTTCGTGTCTCCTCGAGGAAGCCTTTTACGAAGGAATTTGCCCTTTGACCGAAAGAGATGTTCGCATGGAGATCCGAAGGAAGGAATTCCCTGAATGAGCAGCGCTGGATGACGCCGTCACGTCGAAGCTTTTCCGATGAACCAACGCGATGGCAGCATCGAACGCTGATCACTATTTTTACCGTTCAAGCACTCGACTGCGAGCGCTTATCGTCCGGGATTTGGCCGTTCGTCGCCTGACTGCAGTTTCTAAATTGAAAATAAATTAAGTGCCGGAAGGTATCTCTGAGGCCGGCAGCGTCCAGTCAATTTTCAACGGCAGTACAAACTTACGTATCGCCAAGGGACTCGCGACTGATCGTGACTCTCGTACCCAGTGCGCGTACATTCGGCAGAAACTACGTACCGGCCAACTGCCGAACCGTTGACTACGTCACTGAATTTTCAAAAGCTCGCATCGTGAACATTGTATTGACATCAAGTGACTCGCGACCAATGGATATATTTGCTTGATAAAAGGGATTTGCCGCCCCCTTATTAAGCTTCTACTCAACGCAGGTTAAACTAGCTAAAGGAAAGATTGCGGTGATAACGGTGGTAACGAAAGTGTCAGAGGAAGTGAATTAACGCATTTCAACATTCGACACGAGTGAATTTAGGGCCAGAATCGGATTAAATAAATGGACTCTCCGTGTCCATCAGAATTCTTTTGTTTAAGTCTCCCAGTACCAGGGCGTTGAGTTTGTCCTATCCGAGAGAATTTTTGTGTGACAAATATTGACACAGCCCACCCACGGCAAACTCATTCTCTCTCGGTAATTGTAACTCGTAACTCGTAACTCGTAAACTAATATCCGAAGATCTCTTACTCGTAGAGCTGGTGTAGCGTGACACAAAGCAACGTCCAAGGCCTCAGGATATCGACGCGAGTTTGACCAATCAGGGTTCGCTGCTATGTAAAACCTCAATGTAGACTCAAGAGATGTCACCGCTTTAAGAGAAAAAGCATAATGATCTTCCGCGTGAAGGTGCGAACGTTACCGACGCCGGCGTCGACACGCACGCGGACGCCTCAGCGCTTTCACACTCTGTCACTCCCTGTGTCTTTCTCGCATCACTTCGAAAATGCCCAATTGCCCAATTGCCCAATTGCCCAATCGAACGTATTGTAGTGACGATCTGACGAGTTTTGCTCGATTCGCGAGTGTCTCGCAGCTTTTGCTGGGCGAAGCCGGCTGTGCGAAAAGCCCCGCGAGTCTGTCGGTCGGCATGGCAACAGCTCCGTGCGTCCCGGCGTCTCGCGGCGCTCGATACTAGACGACGCCCAAATCCGGAACTCAACCCTCGATTTGCCACGCGTTCGCCTGCTGACTTGACGTAATTTCGAGGCAACTGACACACTGAGAATAAAATGGCAAAACACAAGCACGATTGCTGATGTGAAATTTCGCTCGATTAGAGAACGACGAGTTCTCCGTCTCCTTGAGAAGCGTTTGAAAAGTCAATACTTCACAGCCGATTGAGATGAGCAGGACACGAGGAGCTGGAGGCTGCTTCTCGATGCTCAGCCTTATTATATGAGGTAATTTCACGTACATAATAAATTACGGCATTTTAATCTCGTTGACAATTTTCCACGACGTTTTAACTGGACCAGTCTCCTATTTCCTTGTACCCCCGGAACATTAAACTGGCAAATTGTTCTGCAGTACTTGCGTTGGATCGCCTATTTGGTATTTCAGGAATCCAAGGGACGAGGTGTCAAATGAAGTTCAGGATGCGAGTGGAAACAGAAAGGAGAATCGAATCTCTCGAGTTAATCCCAATAATACGTTCAATACGTTTGATCCGTTTAATCCAAAGAGAATCTCGATCTCGCACTCCCGAGGTCTCCGGGACGCGTCGATATCAGTTTCCACCCTCTTGAACCCATCTCGACCCTTTCCACACCGTTGCCGAGAGGCCCGCCCTGCTGCCGTCTCTTCCTCGGCGCTCAACAGTTTGGGCCAAGTGCCAGAATTCTCCTGGAGACTGATTAGGTCGTAATTGCGCATTGTTTTCCTCTGCCTTTAAATAGGATGTTCAAAACCGCCTCAGGAAGCAACTCAACAGAGTCAACCGGCGAGACGATCTCGGATAACCCAACCTTCTGGATATAGCGAAACTGAAGCTCGGTTATTCGCCTGGAACCACCAGTTTCACCCTATTTCTATCGGACTCTGTTACTGACTTGAACCACCACGAGATGACCTTGACATTTTATATGAGAAAAATTAAACTTACAGTACGAATTGTAAGTATCGACTAAGAAAGTACACGAAATGGCATATTACATAAATGTAATTACAGAGACAAAAGTTACCTAAACGTATAATGTGATCCAAAGTTCAAAAGATCCACACCCTGGTATGAATAGGGTTAACGTATGATGAACTCTCAGGAGAGACAAAACCATGCAATGTTTACCTGGCCACACTTTCCTCGTGTGTATGATCACGAGTCGACGCCGAAGCATGCACTGGAGACAAGACAAGACAGATGCAGCTGACTCGACTCTCTGTTTGCAATACGTCGAGAGAGAAGAATGACGTATGTGGTTTGCGAAGCCACAACTCCTAACTGGCCAGTCGAGTGATGTTATATCCAAGGTATCCATAAGCCATACGCGTGAGCAGCACACCTGTGTATCATCTGTCTCCCAGAATGCTCTTGGAACGAGAGAGAAGCCAGCAGCCTCCGCGACCCGTGAATGAACTTTCAAGATGTTCGGGGGTTCCGCTAATGCTTGATAAGCAGCGAAGTCTAATGAAATCGAAAGAGCGTGTCCCGCCTCAACCATCATTTCATTGGGTGCTTAATGTCATAATGGAAATTCGCTAACGAAACGCTTTCGGCGCGGCTGCGACTGAGCCAGTTTTTGCAATATAATATTATCCTAGTCCTGTCGCCGTTCTTATAAATCCCAAAGCAAATCGACCGTCGTTGGTCCACCCGTAATACGAGGAAGCTGTAATAAGTTGACACGAGGAAGAACGAGCGGCGCGCCGCGCAATGTAAAACCCCCCACACGTTAACCCATCCGTGACCCTAACAATGAGCTCCCTTTTTCGAGCGTCCGCGTCATGTTAAGCGAACGCGTTCGCGCTCGCGAGACAGAACGTAGGTATATCCGGGAAGTTTGGGCCGTTGAACCGTGATGCACAATGCTGCTCGTGGACGAGAGCAGAGTGTCACAGTCGCAGTCAGCAGACCGTCATCGGCGCGACCCGGTCAATCTTAGACTCGCTTGGCAAACACTCCAACAGGGATCATCTTCGGACGCGGGATGGGGTTCCTGGGGTTCCAGCGCTCAGAAGTACGTTGCACGAAACAGAAATCAATCGATGAGTGTAATAAGTAAATAAAATAGAGAAGGAGAGTTCCTTCTTTTTCGTCCTCGGCCGAGAGCAACAACCACTCCCATTGCCATTCCCCAGGACGCGTAGCCTGCCTGCCTGCCTACGTCTCTGCGTGGAGTTGCTGTATGCAAGGCGCACGGTTTAGCACGCGATGCGTAGTCGTCGTGTCTGCAAAAAATCCGCACACGCAGATCCGCTCGCGGCTAACGTGAGATGGCGACGGTAAAGCAGGAGAGGACGAGGCGGAGAAGAACGACGACGAAGAAGAAGAAGGTATCCGAGGGGAAGGAGGAAACCTGATTGGTCGGCCGGAGGATACTGTGCTCCCACCGCAAGACAGGACGAGGCAGGACGAGGCAGGACGAGGCAGGAAGGCAGGAAGGCAGGAAGTGCAGCGAGTCTTCGTAATTCAGGCTCGAATTACTTATCCTCCGTTTCTTCGCCTCGTTCGACACGTCGCTACTGCTCTTGCTATGTGTGCGAGCATCGAGATGCTGCACGGGATGCTGCACGGGATGCTGACTCCAGAAGGATTCCCGTTGAGCGCGAGCGACTCCATGGTATTCCGCGGAAGTCGCGAGTTACGAGCAAGCCCCGAAGGATGAGTCACACCTAAGAGCACTCCCCCCCCCTCTCTCTCTCTCTCTCTCACTCTTTGATCCTTTCGCTTGCCCGCGCTCTCTCTTATCATCGCAATACACTCATTCCGCCGCTGCAGAGGTAAAACGAGAAACCAAGAAAAATACGTAGGAGGCAAACCGTGCGAGAAGACATGAGACTTGCGAAAAAGCGTCCAGACGCCCACGCGTCCCTCGCGAGTGGCGGGGGGCCGGGGAGCCGGCGGGGGGAAACTCGCGCACTCTACGTCCCCCTTCCCTGTCCACCACCAAAGTATCAGCAGCGTCGCTGCAACTGCGAAGCTCCGAAAATTTATCTCAAGAGACTCACCTCAGCGAGAGGCTCCTCCTTGGTGACGTCTCCATTCTTGGGCGTATCCTCGCGAGCCGGCTTGTTCTTGTCCTTCTTGCTGAAGCTGATCGATCTGAAGGACCACTTCTTCTTGAGCTAACGTTGACGAAGGATAAGGAAGAGAACCGATTAGTTTCGCAAAAAGGAAAAGTAGTCGAGTAGCGAGGAGAATCGCAAGGATCTTGGAATGATTGTCAATCCGCACTGGGTGTACCGACCTTATCCTTTTTTTTGGTTTCCTTGGATTCAGGCGAAGTCGCTGCGTTGGGAGTAGCAGGAGTGGCCTCTGCACTTGGCGTCGTTACCTCCGCACCTTCGGTTCCAGAAGCGTCCTGGGGCGTCCCGTCGGGCTTAGCCTCCTCGGGTTTCGTATCTTCTGGCTGCTGCGAAAGAGAAAAACAAGAGAAGCGAAAGGTTAACATCTGTAACTTGAGACTGGAGATCGTTCGAAAGGTGCTCGCGATTCGACTAGTCTTGACATCGCGCTGCGTGCGCTGCGTGCGCTCTGCACGTCACGTGACAAGTCCGGTCAAGGCAGCACATTCCATGTTTTAACAGCTGCCACTGCTACTTGGTAATCTTCCTTAGTCTCGTAAAAAGGCGAAATTTCAAGGGAACCCGAGAGGCGCCGCGACGGATAATGGAGACGCGGCGCCTGCGCCACTCCCGGAATCACTTCTTGAGAGACCCCATTAGAGCAAGCTAACATTCCTTTTTTCTGAAATTCTTGGTGCACTTGCTGTTTCAGTCAATGGGACATTGGGACATTGGGACATTGGGACACCTGTCAGGCGCCATTCCGCACAGAGATCTTACATCGGCGGAACGCGAGCGCGGTTCAACGTTTCGAAGCGCGGTTGAGAATTCCCAGCGAATGATCTGTTAGCACTATTAGCACTATTAACGAGTGTCAGGAAAACTATGGCAAAATGCCAATGCACTTACAGAGGATAAGTGGAGGAAAAAATGCCAGCGTTGTACACGAGTGAGTAGTCGCGTCCACAGTCGCAGACACTGGAGCAATTCGCCAGAGTAAAACTTCCTCAGAATAAACGTCTCTCAACGTTTAACGTCAATGAGGCATTTGCTGCGCCGCTGTTGACCGACCTGACCAAATTGCCGGCCGAATTGAGCGGCGCTCGCTAATTAAATTGCAGGGGAGACCCGAGTCACGCCATCCGTCCTCAACTCGAATCTAGGCCGCGAAATTCGCTAGAACCAAGGAAGAAGACTAACCTCCGATTGGAAGACAAAAAACCAAAAGTCAGCTGTGCAACGCGCAAAAGGCGAGACGCGATCGTTCGCTGCGTCGAATGAGTTGCACGGCGACTCGCCGACAGTTTCGCTCTTGGCTTTTGTGTCGCGACGCATAACAAAAGGGGGAAGGAAAAGAACCCGAGACAATAAAGCCAGCAGCAGCTGTCGATACGCGTCAGGGCCACAGTGTCGCGTATAGACGACATTGTTTTTCGAATTAGTTTACATGCATGTTGCAGAGAGAGAGAGAGAGAGAGAGAGAGAGAGAGAGAGAGAGAGAGAGAGAGATACTGCGCTGACGCCTCTCTGCACATTGTACTGGCGACACTCTGACCTAACCTGACGCCATGTCGTTTGCGACCAAGAAGAACTTTACGCGATGCCAGTTAGACAGAGAGTGGGAGGTTCGAAAGGGGTGAGGAGAGAAGGGAGGAAGGAACGCGCGCGCGGACAGAATGCCATGAGAGAATTTTCCCGAGCCAAAGGTCATTTTCGCTTAACAGGCGCGAAAGAAAGAGACTCCTTCTCAACGTAAAGCGAACGACCGATTTCATTCGTCGGCGCCCAGTAGGATGCACGAGCCACGTGACGCATCCTGAAGCTCAACAGGCGACCGAAAGGTTCATCGGAGCAAAATGAAGAAAGCGAAGAATCGTCCCACCACCCACCACCCACCACCCAGTCCTCGCGTCGAAGGCGCGGAGGTGCAAGAATCTCGTAGAGATGGACGATCAAGGAATTCTCATAGACAAGAATCCGACGAACAGTCGCTCGGTGCGATAGAGCCATTTCACCTCGAGCTATTTTTTGTTCGGCCCGCGATCGATTCATCGTCGTTACGGTAACGATTTAATCATTTAAATTCCCTTAAGCCACTTTTATTAAGTGTCTGTTATTACGCACTGTAGATTACACATGACACTGCCATTACACTGTCGAGCCCTCGGGACACTCTTTGTTCTCATGTTCTCATGATGGCACTTCGGACTGGATGAAAGAAAAATGACCAAAGAGAAAGAGAAAGGACTGGAAGTGTTACGTTTGCGAAATTAAGTTGAGAAACACGAATCAAGCGCAGTTCCTCCTATAAAGAAGTATGTATCTCTCTCTCTCTCTCTCTCTCTCTCTCTCTCTCTCTCTCTCTCT